AGTATTTTTTTTTTTTTTTTTTTTTTTTTCTAGTGACACGAGTTCAATCTCATGGTTATGTTCAAGTTGTTTTTAATGTTGTTACTAAAGATATGGAAGAACTAGGATATAGAATTGAATCAAAACATTCTTCTCATAGTTCACAACAACGATCCGATAATAATGAATTTACATATGTAGATAATTATCATGCCTAAGAACTTTATTCATTTATTGAACTTTTCATTATTTGTTTATATATAGGAGATAAAAAAATATTATCAAATGATTTAACATCTAATCAATTAGCTTTTTAACTTTTTCTATCGGAATAATAAAATAAAATCAATTTTCTGTTAGATATATAAACATTTTTTTCTATGTTTAAACTCGAAGTTAAATTTATCTTCGGAACAAAAATCTTTGTTTTATTGTAAAATCAAATCTATTCAACTGAAAACTATTTTGTACAATTCATATATATATATATATATATTAGAGAGAAAAATTTTGTGATTGAAAGGTTTAATCGAGATTTTTTCAGCTTTTCTCTCTAGGACTTAGCAACCGAGGTCGAGAGAAAGAAAGTCGACGATCATTGTCTGTATGTTTTCTTAGTATAGAAGTCTAAGACTTCTATCATAGATTCTAAATATTGTGAGTTATTGATATTGAATACAATGAAAAGATTTTATCGTAGGTGTTAATCAGAATGAACATAGAACAGAAAGAAGTCTAGACAAAACTGTAGAGTATGTATTAAAATTCTTCAATAGAAATAATCATCTACTCGGAAGCTTATTGAGCAATTAAATAAATGTCTATAACAGGACAATATGGTGATTGAACACAGACAGAACGAAGAATAAAATGATATTGATAATTTTCTATGGCATGTGTAAATTGATTGGGATAAAAACAAAAAAGGTTAAGTGTTGAAGAAATATCTAAGAATAGAAAGATATTTTAATCAGTATAATGATGTTAAATGTTAACATTTTTACAAGAATTAAAATTCATAGGAGATCTCTTAACTATAAATTGAGTAGCGATAAATGAATAACAGTCATAGTTTGATTTTCATGGATCTGCAGTGAAAAGTGAGAGAGAGAAAAAAACGTATATTTTATTTTTCATGAAAATAAATTTTAACATTTGCTAAAACATATAATGAATATCGATAGTTAATAAAGAAAATTTTTCGTAGAATATCGATATAACTATTATCATTGTTTATAAAGAAAATATATTATTTTGATTTAATTCGAATAATGAGACAAACTACTTTTTATAGTTTTTACTATTAATTTTCATGTTAGCCTTGAATTATTATTTTTTTTTTTTTTTTTTTTTTTTTTTTTTTTTTTTTTTTTTTTTTTTTTTTGTTTTTTTTTAAATCTTTTATTATTGATTTTATTATATAATTGAAAATGAAAATTTAATTTTTCCAATCCTAAGCTATAGACGTTATTTTTTTTTTAAAGAATTTTTTTTCTGACGAAAATCAGTAAAATATGAGTTGATGCATATTTATTTTTTCTCATTAACGATAAAAACGATAGATAGATTTCTCTTGTATTTCTATTAAAATTTATTTTAAAAAAAAAAAAAAAAGAAAATTTTTTTCTAATTTCAAATGAACTGACTAAACGTCATTTATTAATAAATACTTATTTATTTCAGTTTGATATTTATTATCAATAGATATGTTGATTGGTTTTTATTTTTTGTCTATATTAAATAAAATATTTAAATTAGTTAATCAGATATAACAAAGATGATCATTATTTATTACAAGATAATTTAATTTAAAATAATTCTATTTTATTTAGTTTTCTATCAAATATATTAAAACATATATAATCAAACAAATAATCATTCAAAAAATATATAAACGAACACGAAAATAATTGTCTATCTTATATTGATATTTTATTATAGACTTCATGTTTATCAGTTCTTCATGATTTTTTTTTAAATATTATATGAGAGAAACATTTAAGGAAATATAATGGTACAAATTTACATATCCCACAGACTATGACGAATGTTAATACGCGATTAAAGACTGTATATTTAATATCGTCTCCCTATCATAAATGAACTATTTCCTTATTGTATTTCGAAGATATTAAGTAAGAAAAAATGTGTTTGAAAATAAATTATCTTTCAACAGTTTCAACAGTTTCAACCAATGTTCTTCTGATTTATTATTAAAATATGTCTTTGGAAAATTTATAAAAATAGATTATAGAATGATGTTTTATTCGAACTTTTAATAAAATAAATGCGTTTTTTGAAAATCAAACATGTTTTACTTTAGAAAATTTATTTTTACTTTTATTCTTTAGAATTTGTAAAAATATCGTTTAAAATGAAATGATTTGGAAAATTTTAAGAAAAATTTTCATATCTCGTTCAAAGTTTATTTGCTAAGATTATTTTTATTTTATGTTTATAGAAAAATGAATGTGACACTTCACACGAATGTTTGCATTTGACTATTTTCTTTTCTTTCAAATAGTCTTAGTAAAACAATCTAATTTCTATGTAGTTCTCATCCAGGTTGAAGTAAACCTATATTTGTCAAGTTATTATATTTGATTGAAATTAAATTAAATTCACTTCATGAGAAAAAACACATTTATTGATATAAAAAGAAAAAAAAAAAGAAAAAGAAAAAGAAAAGGGCTCTAGAATAGAAAAAACCCAATGATCATATTTTTTAGAAAAATATTTTCGAAGGTGAGACATGTTCAATCTTCAATATATTATTTGTTCAATTTTTCATATTTACAGTTCGAATGAAACATCATTCGATAATCTTCTAGAAATTTTCTCAGCACATTATTTAATAATAAATCTAAACAAAATGGTGGAACCTGTATAAACATAATGTAAAAAGAGAAAATTAGACATTTCCTCTGAGATGCTTTATATATTATTAAAAATGTAAGTTGATACATGAATTGGTCGAGTACATTGCAAGTTTTTCGGGCTTTTTTCAAAATCTTGTTTAGTTCAAAGAAATTTTGACACGAAAAATGAAAAAGAAATTAGAAACAAAAAAAACCAAAAAATCCTGAAAATCTATCTTCGATGTCTAAAACGTTCGAAAGGTAACTATAGATTTTAATGTCATCGGTGCCTTAAACAATTGGTTGACAGCTCTCTGTATTATAAGTAATATAATTTTCGCATGAAATATGTACTTTCACTTTCTTTTTTTGTTTTCTAACGTAAACTTCATTCTTCATCATTTGATGATCAAAGCCGAATTGTTTGCCAATATAATTTGAAGATCTCATCATATGATATTCGAAAAATCGAAGAAAAAATATTGAAAATGAAAATCTATCATTTATGATGTATTCATGAACAATAATTGAATATATAATAACTTTATTCGTACGACATATTCAAAAAAAAATATCGTTACAAAGAAAAACAAGTCTTAACTAGAAAATAATATAGATTTTTATTTCTATAGTGTATAAGAAATAATAAGAAAAAAGAAAAAACGTCCATGAAAAGTGTTTATTAAGTATTATTTGATAGATAAAATGAATATGTCTATTTAATTAAGTAGAAGTATAAGTAGAAAAAAAAAGCGCGTTTAATTAATTTCTATAATGGAATGGTCAATAAAGAAAGATAATTTATTGAATAGTCTTAGAAATCATATTCGTAGTTTAAGTTCAAATAGAATTAAGAATAAAAGAAGTTATCTTTCATTTGATTCTCATATACGAATACCAATTATTCTTAATAAAATCAATGTTACACAAGCATCAACTCAAACATTACCAATTAATATTAATAATAATGGTAAAATTAAATAATTTCTTTTTTCTAAATTAAATTTGTTCTTTTTTTATTTTTATTTTTATTAGCTGAAGATATGAAATCAAATATAATTATTCGTCATAAAAATCGTCGTCGAAAATACCAACATCATTTTAATAAATGTCTAGCAGAATTACTTGAAAAATATCCTCCAATACCTGAACATGAATATTTGGTTGCCTTTTCTTTTTTTTTTTCGATTTAATTTATTTAAGATGTTTTTCTTTTTTTTGTTTTTAGAAACAGGATAAATCAATAAATGATGATTCAAAAAAAAGTTGTTATTCATCAATTTCAAATAGTTCGATTTTATTTTATTTTTTGCTTTTATTTATAAGAGAAAAAAAAAACAATATTTTTTTAAAATAATTTTAGGTTCTGAAATAAATTCATCTGTGTGGTCAAAATTATTAGAAAGTCGAGAAGATTTATCAAAATTAAATAAAACTCTTGAAGATTTAGATCAACGATTAAAACGTCTTTCAATGAATATTTGTGTTAAATGTAAAGATAAAGATTTTTGTTAAATAATAAAATAAAATTCTTGACTTTTTTTTTTCTTCTGTAAATAATGAACAATGTCCACTGACATCTAGAAATCATTTTACTTTTATTTGCTAAGAGTTGATTGTTCAACAAATTTGAGAATGAAACTACGAAAGAAATTTTTTTTTATAAAATGAATTTTTGTTTTAATTAATAAAGTCTAATGGATTGGCTAATTTATCAATTGAATTTATTATTTATAGAATGAAATCTAAGATAAGAAAAAAAGAAAAGCTATACATAATTTTATCGTATTCTGTGTATGCATTTCGTCCAACTAGGCGCTGATATTAACTAATTCGTTATTTTATAATTGAAAATTTAAATTGAAGAAAAAAGAAATAAAATAACAAATGGCTGAATATTGGAATTGGGCTAAGACATTCTGTTGTCGTCCACATTTATATGCTGAACCAACATCGATTGATTCTCTTCGAACATTAATAAACGATATAAATAAAACAAAATCAAAAGTTCGTGTTATTGGTTGTGCACATTCACCATCGGCACTTTCCATGTCAAATGAAGTTTTAATATCAATGAAAAACTTTAATAAAATTATTGAAATCGATGAAAAAAATCTTGAAATTCATTGTCAAAGTGGAGTACTTTTAAGTACACTTAATGAAATTCTTCCACAGCACAATCTTTCATTACCTGTACAAGGTTCCATTAGTACATTGACAATAGCTGGTGTTGTTTCTACAGCTACTCATGGATCAGGTTTCTTTTTTTTTTGTTTCTTAATTAATTATTTAATAAAATGATTTTTTTGTTGTTATTGTTGTAAAAATAGGAATAAAATATGGAACATTATCATCATATGTTCGATCAATAACTTTAATGAAATTAAATGGAGAAATAAAAGAATATTGTTTAGAAGATGATGAAGATTTATTTCGTTGTGTAACATGTTGTTTAGGTACATTTGGAATAATAATAAGTGTTCGTTTAAAAGTATCTCCAATTTTTTATTTGGAATTAAATCAATATGCATTAGAATTTCATAAATTTCTAAATACATTACCTGTTCATTATACATCATCAGATCATTTTCGTTATATGTGGTATCCACATACAAATTTTGGTATTGCTTATCATTTAACAAGAATTCAACCAAGATCAATTTATAATAATAAATCATTATTATCAAGAATATTTTCTTGGATTAGATATTCATTAATTGGTATTTGTTTTAAAAAAAGATGTTTTTTTTTTATTCATTAATTTATTCTTATTTTTTGTTCTTTTTTTCTAGGTCATCATTTATTAGAAATATTATTTTATTTTTCATTATTTCTTCCTCGTTTAGTTCGATATATTAATAATATTTATGTTAAATTAGATGGAATATCGAATCATAAAATAGATCGTTGTGATAAATTATTTAATTTTGATTGTTTATTTTATCAATATGCAAATGAATGGGCCATACCATTAGATCAAGCTGTATCGTGTCTTGTTCAATTAGAAAAATTAATGGAAAATAATATAAATGTTCATTTTCCAATTGAAATACGTTTTAGTAAAGAAGAATTATCATATTTATCTCCAGCTTATAAACGTCAAACATGTTGGATAAATACAGTTGCTTATCGACCATTTGGTAAAACTCATTTAGAACATCGATCATTTTTTGATGCATTCGAAACCATTTGTTATAAACATAATGGAAGACCACATTGGGCAAAAGAACATCCATTAAACAATAAACATTTCTCTGAACTTTATCCAAATTGGAATTTATTTCATGAAAAACGAAAACAATTTGATCCGAATGATCTTTTTATCAATGATTGTCTTCGAAATGTATTTTCCTAAATTGTTTTGTTTTTCTTTTTAAACTAATAAACTAATGACATCTATGATAAAATATAGTAAATGCATAAATAAACTAAAAGTATGCACCATTGAGATAAATGTTTGTCTATGATAAGAACATGACCCCTAGGTAACAGAATGCTTGGACGACCGTTGCTTGGTGTCATTCTTTTTCTCTTATTGCATTGACTAAAGTAACGGTAGTCATCGAGATCTTTCGTATTCTTGTCAAGTAACCGTCGTCAGGTCAGTAAAAAATAAAGAAAAAAAACGGGTTACCATAACGAAACTTTCTTAAAGAAAACAAAGTTTTATATTTGTGACGTTCTTCTAAAAAAAAAGAAAACAAAAGAATGAATTATCTATTTAATATGGATATTCGATTATTTTTATCTTTTAAGTTTAAACAATGGCATCATCGACAACACTTCCAATACGAGTAAATATTCATGTTTTTTGTTTGTTTTTGTTATTAAATTTTTGGAAAATTTTTCATTTTATTATCAAAGAACGAATCGCGCTTAAACGGTCAACAAGGACAATATTTAGTAGCAACAACAAATCAAACAGGTGGTGAAACCAATGGAAACCAAACAACAGGAAGAGTTATTATTGCGAAAGCACATCCACCAAGTCAAAATTCACAAATAAATCAAAATTCAAATAATATTTCTGGTCCTGTGTAAGTTCAATTATTTGTTCTTTTTTATTTTTTTATTAATAATTTATTTTCTCTTTTTTGTTTTGTTTTAAAGTCAATTTCAATTTAATTCAAGTGATGGAACACTTTATACAGGAACTAATTCATTTTTTCAACCCCAATCATCAGTAAATAAAACTAAAAAACTAAATCAATGAACTAATAATTATTATTTTTTAGAATGCATCATCGGATAGTTTTTCTCATCATATATTATCATGTACTGGAGGATATTTTGTTCCATCATTAGAAAGTGGTTCACAACCATTAACACATACAACACGAGCATCACCAGCAACAGTAAGATTTTTCAAAAATATATAACAATATTTTCATTATTCAAATAAATTTCTTATTCAAGAAAAAATATTTTCAATCTGATTTTTAACTTAAAACAAATTATTTTATTTTCATAGACTTTAAATTAATTTTCTACAATTGTGTTTAATTCTAACAACAAAGTTTTTCTAACTGTTTAAGATTTTTTGACTTTATCTTTTGCCTTTCAATAAGTTTCAATCAGATTACAAAAAGCACAAATACATTTTCACACATGACTCTTATAACTCTTCCATCTTGAAATATAAATCAAATTTATGTCAAAAAAATAAAAGATTTTTATCAGGTTTTTTTTTTGTTCTGATAATATTGTTTCTCTGTGTATAGAACTATTTCATATATTAAACATAACAATTCAAGAAACTCGAGCACAATCACTAATATATATATATGAATTTAAAATATTTACTAAACTATTTATAGTATTGGCCATAAACGAGATGAATTATTTCTATTTTTGTCTTAAATCTAAATTCTGCTCATGTACAGTAATAACATATGGATAGAAAGAAAACGCTTATGCAATTAAAACTCGTACTTTTTTCATAATGTAATCAGTTCCGATCAAGTAAAATGATCTAAGTTTATTTTTGATTGTTATTGAGAAATATTATCTCTATTAATAAATTAATTTCTTATATAAGTTTCTATTAATGTGTTTTATTTTCTCTATAGATAACATATATCATTGTTATTAATTGTAGAAATAAATAAATAATATGAAACTATAAAATATAAATCATTGAGATTTTTATTTCCTATCGTCGAACTTATGTTTTTAATCTAACGAATTCTTTCGATTATTCATAAGAAAGTTTTATCGCATAAAAAAAAGTCTCAATTTACATAGATTGAAAGAATATTGTGTTAACTAAAATAAAATTATTAGCTAATGAAGAAATCATCATGAATAAGTTTAACTTTTTTTTTTTATTCATTAAGTTAAATAATTTTTATGAGAAAAAGTGAAATACAATATTATCTCTGGATAAAAAATCTTTTTCAGCTTGTTCTACTCTTATAAGAGTATATTTATGATTCGAATAAAATAGATATCTTCCACTTTAAAAGAGTTTTGTATGAATTTTTTCAATCTATAAGTAAATTGTATTAATAAGAAAAATATTAATTTATTATCTTTGAATAAGTTGAAGATAGTTAGTTAAAATTAATTATAAATATTATTTTTTATAGGTTCAATGGTTAGTTGATAATTTTGAACCAGCTGAAGGTTGTTCACTTCGTCGTTCAACATTATATTCATTTTATTTACAACATTGTTCAGAACAAAAATTAGAAGCTGTTAATCCGGCATCATTTGGAAAATTAATTCGATCAGTATTTCTTGGTCTTCGTACTCGTCGTTTAGGTACAAGAGGAAATTCTAAATATCATTATTATGGAATACGTGTTAAACAAAATTCATCATTAAATGCTTTTTCGGATGAACATGGTGGTTTAACATTTCGAGGTAATAATGCATTTGCTAATTTTAAAAATCGTCGTTGGTCAACATCAAATGATGGTTCATCACCAGAAAATAAACCAAATATAAATGATCAATCATATTCATCACAATCAGAATCAACATTATCACAAACAGATACAAAACAATTTTTACATGAAAATAATTCATTTATTATTAATGAAAATATTCAAATTGATTCAAATATTCAATTACCTGATGGGATTACACAAGATGATATTAAACGTTTTGAAAATATTTATAAAGATCATTGTCTTGTAAATTTAATAATTTTATTTTTTCTTCTTTTCTTCTTTTTAATTTAAATATTTTTTTTTTTTTTTTTTTTTTTTTTTTTTTTGAATTATTTTTTGTTTTTAATACATTGGATTTTGGGTCTGTTTGACATATTTTGGTTGATTTTTGGTCACAAACAGGAAGAGAAGAAACTATTCCAATGGCATTATTTCATTCAATATGTTCATTATATAATGTTCAAGAATTTATTAGAAATTCGGATTATCAATTATATCAACAATTAGTTGATCGATTAATTGTTGATATTTTATCACCTATGCCAAGTTAGTCATTTATTTTATTTTATTTTATTATAATTACTATTATATTAAGAAGAAATTACATATTAAGATTAATCATAGAAATATATTTCGATTTTCATATTATTTTATCGAATTTCAATAGAATTTATATTACAATAGAATTTGAGAAAGCTTTTAGCAATTATTCGCACATTCTATATTTGATATGATACTAGAAACTAAAAAAAGATTTATTTAAATGTTTGAATAGTTTTTTTTATTTTTCGATATTATAGTGAAGCATATACTAAGACAAGTAATCTACATATATATATTATATATGAATTATGAGCAGAACCAACATACACTAGAAGAGAAAGAAATATTATGAAAACAATGAAGATATTATTGAAGAAATTAATCTAACTAGAACAATACAAATGATAGTTTAACAATATATTTGAAATGTCGTATTCATTGTTGTGTAGAGTTGTCTTTTTCTTCAGAATATTATAAAAAATATTAATGATATAACCCATCGAGTTAGTTTCACATAAAAAATATTTAAAACCAACGAGTTCTATTAGAAGTATAGAAGTCTTTAGAATGAACGATTTCCTTCGAATGAATAATGACTTAAGTTTTATCATAAAAATTATCCTCGAGTGAAAATCCTCTAATGAAAACGTTCAATTTACGTCCCTATAAAAAGAATGTTGACGTCAATTAATATTTTAATCATGACTGAAATATATATATATATATATATATGTATTTTTCGTTCCAAAATAATTCAATATTTGAATGAAATCAGCGTATGATTTCAGAATCTACACTTGATAAAAAAAAAACCCGAATGTTTTTCGTTGTTTAAATATTTTTGTGTACTCAAAAAGTGAGTACACTCTAGAATCGGTCAGTATGTCCGGCCGTCCGGCCGTCCGTCCGTCCGGCCGGCCGTTTACACGATAACTTTCGAAAGGAGAGTCCGATCACGANACCAAGTCGGTTGCTCACTGTTATGTCTCTTATCTTCGAATGACGACAGAACGGAGAAAAAGAATCCCCCTTCGCATGGAATCGAACCCTGCACCTCCTGCTTACCGGGCAGACGTATTAACCACTGTACTAGAAAGGGTATCTATTCTCCGTCTTACGATTGTATGGGAACAATACGATCGTAACACTCACGCCCATATATATATATATTCTACTTTGTGCCATTAACTGTTCGAGCTTGATAAACTGTAGCTTTTATTGGCTTAGGTTGTCCATCACTAAAATCGACAACTCCAACAATCTGACCATGAGTTTGATTAATGATTCGTGTCCATTTGAATGATGGTAGAATTTGTTTCTAAATTTTTCAATAATAAATAATTGTCAAAATTCCAACCGATATTGACTTACATCAGCAATACTCAAATAAAAACTTTGAAGACTTTCTTGATATCCGTTTATATCGTGTCCAGTATTTGGAATGCGTCTATCAATATTATTCTTATTATATTTAACTGTTTTTGTTTTAACTAATATATTCTTACCTGAGATAAGAACCTCCAGTTTTCATTTGTAGATCATCCCAGAAGTAATCCTACAAAAATATGAATGTATTTTTTCTCAATTTACATTAAATATACTTCGCTATCTGGTAGAAAGAATTCATCATTAGCCCCTTGAAGTTGAAATAATTTTACTTTAGCATATCGATCAAAGTAAGCTTTATAAAAACGTAGAATTAAAAGTAATTCATATATTGAAGAAAATCTTACAATAAGGATCGACGATCGAAGCCAGTTTTTGTAAATATGGATTATTAAGATAACGAGTTATATTCATTTGATAATAATTATAGAAAGCAAATGTCCATCCAGCCAATGACTTAAAATAGAATATTAACATTTTTTTATTAAATATTTTTATTTTCTGTATCTACCCGATAATGATGCATCATATTCTATATACAATATATTATATTATTTTACTTTCAAAAAATATTAATAACATTTGTTCTTACTTACCTTCTGAAGATTCAAAATATCCAGGACAATAGGAATAGCAGCCGATACACGCTGATTATTTACAGCAGCAGTTGTCCAAGCTATTATTATAAGTTCAATTAATATTGAATTTAAATCCTCATATACTTACTTGTCCATCCACGCTATAGAAGTAAATATGAAAAGTCATTGAACATAATCTTTAGGAAAAAAAAAAGAAAAAGAAAAGAAGATTACTTTCGAAAGTCCTGCAACAACAAAGTTTTTTGGTACTGGATATCCTTCTTCCTCTAACAACTGTTCTGTTGTATCCATACCTCGTACTGCAGCCTATTATTTATAGAAAATTAATTATTTAATTAAATAACTTAAAAAAACAAAACTCTTCTTATATAAATATAGAACTTCAATTTTAGAATAAAACACAATAGACATATTTACTTTTCAACATTTTAACTCAAATAAGATCTTAGAATGGTGAAATATATAATAAAAGAAATATTTAAAAAAAAAAAGAAGCATTTAACTTGCATACTTTTGTCATTGGCATACGAAGAAGAATATATGGATTTGTACCATTTTGTTCAATAAATGTCTTCCAGGTCCATGCTATTATGGCATCTTCTGTACGAGACTCTTGTGTTGGATCAGCCTTATACAAGTGAAATATTTTCAAACTGAAAAATAACTTCAATCAATAGATTCTACCATAAATCGAATCGGTTGATTAGGAATCTGTTTTAATTCAACGGCAACACTGCCTGTACTCTCAGCAAGCATTGTTACAGAACTGCTCGTAGGTATTCTAATTAAAAATATAGAAAATCATACACAAATATATTTTGATTAATAATTGATAAAATTTACGAATCTGTATTGTCTCCTCCGTCAATGAATATAAAAGCAATATGTGGACGTCGAAATGTTCGTGGTACTGTTATGATCATGTAATGCCACCAAATAGGTTGTGATGAGAAAGAAGCTAAAAAAAAAATTAATTTAAATATTGAGAAATACTTCTTGTCCTTATTATTTCTATACCATCGAACCATTGTTGGGATGTCATGTTAAGTATATAGAGCATATATGTAGGATATGCATATGTTCGTAGACGTTTCCAACCAAAATTTGGATCAGGTGTATTAACATAGTCGTCCAGTACAGTGGCCTTGATTGAATTCAATATCATGACAAAGGTGATGACCAATAAATACACGTTTCGATACATAATTGAGAATGATAACAAAAAAAAATGTAATTCTTCTTATTTTATAAACAGAAAATATGTCAACTGAACTGTCTCGTATAGAATATCAATAACAAGATATTTTATCGTATTTTTTGACGTTGATCTCAAACATAAAATAATATTTGTCTTTAAACAGAACAAAATATTTGTAAATATTCTTTAAGATAATATATCTTTGTTTTTAAATTTGATACTCAAAAAAATATTTCGATTGTAACCCGATGAAATCGACAAAGAATGAAACATAATCAAATTCAAACATTTCGATTATCACAAAATTTATCATATAACTTATTGATAGAGGAAAAAAATATTTGTCATCGAAATAAATGATACAAATTTTTAAATAAATTTCATTCTCTAGTGTTTACAGTTTGAAGATTATCAATTGACTTTGTCTATTCAAGTGAAAATGAGAAAATGTCAACTATGATAACGCTACAGCAATCATCAATAGGATCAATATGGATAAAAGATAATCTCTATTTGTCAATCAACATACATCAGAATATATTCATTGATAAAATTGTCTTCAAACGAAAATTGAATATTTATTTCCAAATGACTTCAATTATAAGTTGTTTTTATTTCGATCGCAACAATTATATAAATTATATGTAGAAAATCTTGGTTGTTATTCTATTGTTCTATTTGATATAGACTTTCAAAGTAATATTGTTTACTTTTGTTATTGTTGAGACAATTAATTGACTTTGTGTGGCTTGTCTTTAAAATATTTATCTATACTGATGGTTATTGATTATATGTTATTTTATCATTGTCAAGAAAATTTTCATGCGATAAATACGAAATATTTAAACACGTCTAGTTTATTCAGAATTCTTACTCAATTGAACTAATGATCATCAACTACATAGTATGATTATAGATTTAAATAAAAAAATTTCCATCCTGAATAATACTATTTCATTTGATATATTTTCTCAATTTATTGATCATGATCGAATGATCTTCGTTCGCATCTTGTCTTCTTCATTAGTTGCTTTTAATAACACTTTTGATAACAAGTTTTCTTCGATTAGTGTTTACTTAATGTGTACAAAAATATTTTGTTTTTTCTTAAAATCAATCGAAAGAGAGAGAGAGAGACAAACATCTCTCACATAACACATGTCGAGTCATGAGTTTTTCAAATAATAATGCCTCGATCATTCGTTCGTTTCTATTTTCTGATGGTAATCTAGGCTCCTCATCAATAGGAAACAAAGTTTTTCTTCATTATTGTGAACAGATTTGAACTCTGACTAGCCAGTTTATTTGGATGTGTATATATGAATCTCACTAAATTGTGTAAGTGTTGATTTTCTTTTCACCGATATCTATACTTCAATAGTTATTTAAAAGCATATTAACGTCTACAGTCATAATCACAGCTACTTAGAAGATAAATAGATAATAGATCATGTAATGATGTCATCTATTTATTAGTTAATGAAATAATCAAATGGCACACACTTAATGATTAGTTTTAGTAACGATCATACCAATAATGAATGTTTCTGATTGTGCAACTGTGGTCACATATCTTCCATGAATAACACTATAGGCTACATATTGGAACAATGACGAGTGGTTGGTAAAATAATGACCATAGTTGAAATGAAATTAACTGATAAAGGAGCCATTAAAATTAAACAAATAAATAGAAAAACTGTATATGTTCAAATAAGATGAGTACCATTCAAAAGGTATCAATATGAGAAAATATAAAATCTCACCACTACACTCACATACACATCGATACTGTAAGTATGCTGATCGGATATCTAGAAGTCAGAAAGCGCAAAATGCCCGGATTTCGAAATATTTAGGAGCGTTTTAAGAGGATTTCCCTTTCCCAATCCAAAATTTCCTTTTTTGTCGTTTCTCATTTTTCATGTTTAGTATGTAGATCTAAATGCTTTCCACTTAATGAGCATATTTCAAGAAGGAAAAATCATCTTTTTGTATGCAAAAATAAATGTGGAAACCTCGGATCTAAATCCGAGTGTTATTTGTACTTCAGAAAGTAAACAGATGAGTCATCATAACATGTGTAGACATCAAAATCATCCTAGCAAGCCATTTTTCTTAAAACTTGATTTCTATTGGTTACTGCTCATCCAATAGGATTTCGAGCTAAGTGGAGCTCAAATTCAAGTACTCCGCCCCAGAAAACATTTGTTCAAGTTTGATAAAACCTCGAAGCATCGCTTCTCTGATTGGATGATGAGGTTTTAATTTTCGATCGATCACAGCGTGGACAAACACAGAAGCAATTTCCGTTCAAGGATCTTTGCAATAGGTGATTTAGGTTTCTTGTTTCTTAATGTTTTATATAACATTTTGTAGCTCGTGAAATTCTCTATCGAATGGTATATAATAGCGTGGGATTTTGTTTGATTATGAGAGGAAAAGTTCTTTTACGAAAACCGAGATAGGTCAATAATCGCATAGAAACGCATAGGGAAAAATCACTTTTTTTGCGATAACTCAGCAATAACTCGACGAATCATTCTCATCTTCGAACTCGACCGAGACATTGTTAAGACTGAACGGTGTAGAAAATTTCATCCCGATTGAACTCTCCTTTCAAAAGTTATCGTGTAAACGGCCGGCCGGACACACTGACCGATTCTCGAGTGTACTCACTTTTTTGAGTACACAAAACGTCGGACACTGAGTTTTATGCTAAAAAAGCCAAAAAGTTTAACTTTCTTTGTGATTTTTTCAAAATCAGATTTTCAAACGAAAAAGGACAGGGGCGCATAAGACCGTAATTTGGCCCATTGGACTTTTCATACTATGTACAGCACAATCATATATAGGATGAAAAAGCTTCAACTGGCGAGTACTTTCCAATCCATTTGACAACTTCCTACCTTATGATTTCGAATGATCTTATTACGAACACATAGTAATTACATGACAACCTTTCAGATTAGTTTTCTCTATATAAATTCAAGAAAGTCAGCTTCAATTATACACCACCGGATAGCTCTTTTCACGGGCTACAAAGCCATGTAGTTTTTAGAATTATTGAAGGTGTGCCCATCAAAAACTCCAAGACCACAAAGTAGAAACTATGACTATTTTTATATATAGTACAACATGCTTCATTAATTATTTTCTTAAAACTCCGTATCAGCCAACTTCAATTATATACCACCGGATAGCTCTTTTCACGAGCTACAAAACTATATAGTTTTTAGAATTATTGAAGGTGGGCCCATCAAAAACTCCAAG